AACCCATACAAAGAAAAAGATTTAAAAAAAAACAAATCAAGGATGGAACCTTTGCGCTCGGCCTGGGGTATAAGTGGCGGGCTGTTTGTGAGACGTTTGAGGTTTTAGATTTTGATTCTCTTTCCTCCTTTTTATGTGCTTGTCGTTCCAATCAGGAGAGGTGGTGTGTTTTTTAAACCTTGCCCGGTCTCTGGGTGGAGTGATGGAAAGAGAACGGGCTTTGGAAACACATGCGTCTCCTTCTGTTCGGCAGAAGCTGGAAGCTGACGCTTACTGAGCAAGTACCGCACGCCAGACATTGTTCTGTGTGTTTAGACTGCATCAGGCCCCATTTCACAGATGGAAGCTGAGGCACAGAGCAAATACGTAGCTTGCCCAGGATCACCCAACTTGTCAGTGGCTGAGCTGGGACCTGAAGCCAGCAGACTGGCTCCCAGTTTCTAAGCCCTTCATTGTGCTGCCCCTCAGATATAAAGACCTACTATGTGCAGGAGCTGAGTTAGCACTGGTGTGGGCAGACAGTCCAGGAAAGAGGTAGTTACAGGGCTGGCTGCATGATGTGAGCTGGGCAGAGGGGAGCCTGGGTTGGGAGGGGGAGTACCCAGGATGGCTTCCTGGAAGAGGCGGCCAGCAAGCTGAGGCTTGAAGGTGGGTAGGACTCAGTTGAGCATAGCGAGTGAAGACCAGGTTGAACTGGGTTCAGTCCTGACTCTAGGACTCATGGTTGCTGTATATCAGATGCCTTCACATCTGATAGACGCCGGCCCAGCATTGACCAAGCCGGGACCAGCCACTCCCTCACAGACTTGTTAGGAGATTAGATGAACAGAAGACAGAGAAGGTGCTGGGCACGTAGTAGGTGCTCAGGAAACGCTAGTGGCCCTCTCCCACTGACAGGCAGGGACGTGGCTTAGACTTCTACTGCGACCGGGGGTTGTAAACCGGTGGCCCCTGGCTGGCCCACAGAATTTGAATTACTTGATCACATTTATAAATTGGGGGATTCTACACAAAACCCAAGCATTTTTGGAAAGCTCCTGTGATCTGGCGACCGCGGTCTGCATAGCCCACTCTGCGCCCCGGGGCTGAGCGAGGCGTGGCTGTCCCCAGAGGGGCACTGAAGCTGTCACACGCTCTCCCTGGGTCTCCTCCAGCCTCTCTCCCTCCCGGCACTTACCCACCCCCGTGTCCCCGTGTGGCCCACGGCCCAGAGTGTCACCGCGGGAAGGTGAACCTGGGTGCCTTGGGAACACGTTGGCTGTAGGGCTTAGGGTGGACAAGGGCAGACACTTAGGACCATGATGGATCCTCGGCCCCGGCACATCGAGCCCCAGGTCCTTTGAACGCCCACACCCACCGTGCACACCAGGTGCCCCTGGATTTTTCTCCGTGACACAAGATAGTCGGCATTTCCAGTCATTGAAGTGTCTGACTTTCTGGCAAATGGACGAGTACTTTCAAAACCAAGACATTCCTGGGATTAGGGAAAAGCCACTGACCTGGCAGAGTGGGGTCCTCGGGGAGAAGCTGTGGTCCAAGGGGAGCCCCTCCTTCCAGACCCTGGACTGACCCTCAGAAGACCAAAATCAGATTTCAACTGAAGGCTCCTCAGTGAAGGGGCTGTGTCCCTCAGGGAACCCAGCCCGTGAACAATAGCCGAGCTCCGAAGAGGCCTCACAGAACCCCGCTGTGGTTCAGCATGGACGTGGCTGCCACAGAGGGCTTCCGGAATCCCAGCTCTGATCAGTCACCCACAGGCTTTGCGTGGAGTCCCAAAGTCCCTTTTTCTAGGATTCCTGCTTCCTCTAGGAAGCCTTCCCTGGTTTTCCCTGGGATGGACTTCACTGATTCCTCAGAAGCCCCTGTGAGGTGGGTACCGCTGCCACCCCCGCATTCTAGACGGTGAAACTGAGGCTGAGCAAGGTGAAGGAACTTGCTGGAGGCCACATGCCAGCACGTGGCACAGAGAGATCCGAACCCTGGGCTCGTGGCCACAGACCCTCCTTGTTTTCCTCCGGCCTTTATGCTTAACAGGCCTGTGGAATGTGCCGTCTGGGTGGGTCTGTGAGAGCATTTCTCATCTATTAAAGCCGAGAGATCCTAGGCCCTGTTTAGCGTTTTCTTTGATGTTGCAAGGGCGGTGTGGAAATTTCTCTGTTCTTATGTGACCCAGTTTCTCTGCTTTGAAAATGTCGTTCCTGTTCTCCCCGCTCCCTGTTTTTGAGACCAGGCAGCAGGGCCCCCGGAAGCATCTCTTCATCTCTGCACCCCACACCCCCATCTGCCACCAGTTGTTCTGGCCCACGGCCCGTGTCCAGGCCAGCGGATGACCCACGTGGCAGCTCTGGGGCTCCTGAGAGGAGCTACGGGCTCACAGTTAGGATGCACCTGCGTGGCTCACCTGTGCCCTGAAGCCCACCTGTGCGACCCTCCACTCACATGAAACCAGGGTCTCTTGTTCTTCCTTGGCCGTGAACATAACCATAGTAGATGGCCTTGACCTGAAGGGACCTCCCTGGCCTTTCTGTCCTCATTCTGTGACGCTGGCCCAGGAAACCAGAGAGAGGAGCCCACTGCTGCTGCACACACCCCCTCACACAGTTCACGTACGTGCCTCTAGAATATGCGAGAACTTTTGTGAAAAATCCCCTTGTCCTCCTTCCCTTTTCTGCCTTGGAAAGCTCTTTGCTGGTTAGAAGACTCTTTGTAACTTGTTATATAGTAAAAATAATTGCTGAAATTTGGTCTGTTTTCTCAGCGGGACTGAGTGACCGGAGGGGATCTTTGGAATGGGGAGCGGGGCCGGGTGGGGTGCGTCTCCAAGTCACTTGCTCGTGAAGGTGTTTAACACGCGTCTGCTTCTTACACAGAGTTAAGCTAAGGATTTGGGGATCAAAAGATGGCTGTGCTCTTTTGGCCAGCAAAGATGGCCTCTGCTCCTGGGATCTGGGGCGGCAGGGAGACTGCCTGTCTCCAGGTGTAGGGCTGGCCTCCAGACTGGAGTATTGTTGGGAGGGGTCCATTTTTTCTTGCCTCTTCTTTTAAATTGTGGTAAAATATACATAACATAAAATGTACCATTTTAGCCCTTTTTAAGTGTACTGTTCAGTGGCATTAAGTTCATTCACGTTGTTGTGTAGCCATCACCACCCTCCATCTCCAGAACTTTTTCATCTTCCCAAACTGAAGCTCTGTCCCCATTAAACACCGACTCCCCATAATTTCCCCCTATTTTCAGCCCCTGGCACCCACGATTCTACTTTCTGTCGCTGTGAATTTGACTGTAGGGACCTCCTGTAAGTGGAATCATACAGGGTTTGCCGTTTTGTGTCTGGCTTATTTCACTTAGTATACTGTCCTCAGGATTCATCCATGCGGTAGTATGTGTCAGAATTCCCTTCCTTTTTATGGGTGAATCACATTCCATTGTGTGTATGGACCATATTAGTTTATCTGTTCATCCATCAGTGGACGCTTGGGTTGTTTCTACCTCTTGGCTGTGAATCGTGTGAGTCATTGCTGCTGTAGGGTGTGGGTGTGCAAGAGAGCCCATTTTTTCACAGTCTTGTATCAGGGCCTTCCTGATGTTAGAACCCACTGCCGTGTTCCTTGAGAGGGACAGAGGGTGGCTTGTCCCCAAAGCTGGGTCTGTGGCTGAGTCCAGGGAGCCCACCGTGTGCCCAGCTCCGGCCTCAGAACCTGATGTTCATCGTTTCATTAAGTCCTTCCAGGGGACCTGATGTTTTGAGAAAACAGGCAGAGAGGTTGCCAGGCGTGCCTGGGGTTGGGTCACCCTGGCCTGCCTGTCCCAAGGCCATCACGTCCTGTCCCCTGGCTACTCTGTCCCCTGTCCCCTCAGGTCCTGGAATTGGAGATATTCAAGGTTCGAGGTGACTGCAGTATTGAAAGAGGAAGTCGGTTTCCACCTCTGAGGATGTTTCATTACAGAGAAGGCCTTGAAACTAACACAACGTTGTAATTCAATTAGGATTTAAAACAAGAAAAAGAAAACAGGAGGAGAAGGAAGGCTGGGCACTTGTCTCTGGAGCTCACCGAGGAGGAGGCTGGTTTTGTGGCGTGTGGTCGGGGACTGTCACCCAGCAGTTCTCAGCCAGGGCTGGAAAGGTGCCCAGCGCCCCCTGCACCCATTGCATGGGGGCTGGAGCCTGGAGTCCGATGCAGTTATGGCCGGTGGAAGAAATGCGCCGTTAGCCCCTGGTGTCCCGGGGTGGCCCCCTGGCCAGTGTAAGTCGAGATGCTTTCCTGGACGGTGTCTAGCGCAGCGGGTGAGGGATCCTTTCTGCACCGTGGCATCCAGGCCGCCCCTCTCATCGCGTAGCCAGCCCTGCGGTCCCTGCGACTGTTCAGGGCGCCCTCCTCCCCAGCCCCCGGCACCCTGTCTGCCCTCTAGACACGGTCCTGTGCTCCCAACTCCAAGTCTCCGGATCCGATTTGTTAGATTCTGCTGTGTGTTTCACTGCTTCCGACCCTGGGCATTACCTCGCGTCAGACCAGCTGGATTCTGTCCCGTGAACGTGGCCACGGACGACGGCACTGCCTCACCTGCTGCGTGCCGGGAGGGTCTTCACACCCAGAGTCCATAGCCGAGGACACTGCTGTCCAGGAGGGGGAGGGGAGCCCGCCCTTTTCAGGCCCTGTCGCTGTGATCCAAGCTCCGTCCATCTCAGCAGCCTTGGGTGGATCTGGAAGCATCCAGAAGCTTCCATGACATAGTCCTGTATTGCAAAGAGTGGTGAAAACAGCCTGGCCGGGCTTGGTGAGAATCGGGAACTCTGCAGCGTGGGTGAAGAATTGCAGGATGTATTCTTGGTTCGGAGCATTTTTCCTCGGACGCTTTCTGGGCAACCAGCCATTTAGGAATGTTTGTTGAATGCTTAAAAAACAGGAGCTGATTTCTCCCTGTTTCCACTGCCAACATGTGAGGCCACAATATTCCATTTATACTAACTGGCTTTTTCCTTTCTCTTTCTGACTGACAGTGAGTGACTTGCAGGAAGAAGGGAAAAATGCCATCAACTTGCCGATGTCCCCTGCCTCGGTGGAGATCTACCCTGAAGACACCCTGCTCGGTATTACCGGTTTCGCCACCTCCTTGTCGTGGGCGAGTTGAGCTTCCCAGCTTGCGGTTGGTCTGGGAGGGGCTGAAAAGGAGCATTCGTGGCCTTTTGATCAGACTCAGATGTCACATGGGGCTCTCAGCTCAAGGTCATGTTTAGAAAAGTCTGTAGGAAAAAAGCAAGCCTTCCCTTGTAGGTCACTGCCTTTCTGATTGCACATGTCAGTTTTATTGTGATTTAAGTATGATGAGGCCAACGGATCAGGAGCTGACTGCCACGGAAAAGGTGGTTTGTTAAACTCACGGTTCCCAAGGTGACGGGGAGGGCAGCAGCATAGGGCAGGAGGCAGAAGGAGTGACGGGGAAGCATGGGCAGCAGCCTTTATTGTGGTTTTCACAGGAAGGAGTGAGTGAGGCAGGGTTCATAAGCAGCTTTGGATGGGCTGGGCTGGGTAATTTCAGGGGCCTCTGGGACACAGGGGCTGCCCCGAGTTGTCTGTACCTGGTCCCAGGTGGTTAGGGCAGGGGCTGTTGGCTGGGTGTGTAAGAGCCCTGTGTGAGCTCAGTTAGAGAGGTGTCTGGGGGGTGTGGGCTCTGGGTTGGTTGTTTGCACGTGGAAGGCACTCCCATGGGACACGTTTGCTGTTTTGGGAATCAGCTAGCTCTGAGAGCGGAGTCCCTCTAGGTACCCAAGGCCCCAAGACGTCAAAACATTAGGAAATACAGAAAATAAGAAACACGATTAACATACCCCCCATCTCTGCACAAGCCGGAGTGGCCTCCACGCCAGGGACCTGCTAGGTGGGACCTGCCAAGTGGTACCGGCCCTGCACTAACCTCCTCAGGACCGCATCCCAGCCGGCACTGATGAGGTGACGGCCTGGACACACTGGCCTTAAAGCGTGTTTTGGGATCCGATGGATCTGGAAGGCAGTCTCGGAACATTCCGCATCTTTCCAAACCCTGCCTGGTTCAAAGGGAAGTCCCGGTTGATGCCTCTGTTGTGGTTCCCACGACAAGGCCAGGCCAGCAAGAGCTGATGGGGAAGAAATGCAAACGCACGTCCAGGCGGCCGACCTGCAGCCAAGCGCTGGATGGGCTCGGAGGTGCCGCCGGGGTGCCCTGCGGCTTCCCCTCTGCTCTAAGAAGAGCGTGACCCTTCACTGGTGCTGTTGTGTTTTGTCTTCAGTCTGGCTGCAGCTGCTGCCCAGGCAAGTGACCCTCTTCCAGGAGAAACTGGGGATGAACGTTGTCTGGAAATTACCCTGATTCAGAACAGGGTTTCTCCCCAACCCACCCCGTGCTATGGGCATTTGGCACCGGATAATTCTTTTTTTTTTTTTTTTCTTTTTGCGGTACACGGGCCTCTCGCTGTTGTCACCTCTCCTGCTGCGGAGCACAGGCTCCGGCCGCGCAGGCTCAGCGGCCATGGCTCACGGGCACAGCCATTCCACGGCATGTGGGTTCTTCCCGGACCGGGGCACGAACCCGTGTCCCCTGCATCGGCAGGCGGACTCTCAACCACTGTGCCACCAGGGAAGCCCCGGATAATTCTTTATAGTCGGTCAAGGTGTTGATCAGCATCCCTGGTCTCCACCCACTAGAGTCCCCCTCCCCACCCCCACCCCAGGCTGGGACAACCAAAAACGTCTCCAGACATTACAGTGAGTCCCCTGGGATGGAGGTTCAGGGGACTTGATTGCTTCTGGCTGAGAACCCTGCTTTAGACCAACAGGAGTGCTAGAAAATAAATTTACTGTAAACATGTGGCAGGCTACTGTTTTGTCAATATGCCTCGAACCTGCTTTTCCCTGGACCCCAAGCCGTTTTTCTAAATAGCTGCTCTTGGACTGGGAGTGGGCATTCTTCCGTTTGCCCTGTAAGGTTCTGCTGGCCCCTGAAGCTCTTGTGACCTTGATAAGAACCACCCTGGTTGGGCTTCCCTGGTGGCGCAGTGGTTGAGAGTCCGCCTGCGGATGCAGGGGACACGGGTTCGTGCCCTGGTCCGGGAAGATCCCACATGCCGCGGAGCAGCTAAGCCTGTGCACCACAACTACTGAGCCTGTGCTCTAGAGCCCGTGAGCCACAACTACTGAGCCCACGCACTATAACTACTGAAGCCTGTGCGCCTAGAGCCCATGCTCCGCAACAAGGGAAGCCACCACAATGAGAAGCCCGTGCACCCCAGTGAAGAGTAGCCCCCTCTCTCCGCAGCTAGAGAAAGCCCATGCGCAGCAATGAAGACCCAACGCAGCCAAAAATAAATAAATAAAATAAATAAAAAATATATATATATATAGAAATATCTCATAAACAATCACAACAAATAAACTTGAAAAAAAAATTTTCGCTGTTGTGAAGCCTCTGTCACTCAAAGCCCTTTCATTCCCACCAACGTGGACAGGGTCCCAGCCGTGGGAGCCTGTGTGGGCCCCGGGACCCTGGTCATCTCTTCCTGCACGTCCTAGGGGCCAGAGGTTAACGCTTCTTTTCTGTCCTTTTAACACCCCTGCTCAGTTTTGTTCTGCGACGTGTCTGGTGTCTGTGGGTCTTTCCCCTCTGCCGTCCACTTATTACCACTGCGTCACTCCCTCTGTACAAGCTCACTGGTGCCCGTGGTCCACGGATCAAGGGCAGACATGGAGGGAAAAACAAACAGATAAACAGAAACAGAATATGGATAAACACACTTGCTGTGAAACATCCTTTTTTTCCCCTGCTCTTTCTAATATTTTTGTCCGTATCACCTTACGTAGTGGCGAGCTTTCTCGGTGAACGCCAGGTCTTCCGTGGGTTTATTAATAGTGGCTTTTCCACAGATCCGATTCAGGCCTGTGTGCACCCCCCTCCCTCCTGAAAGATGGGGGTGGATGCTCCATTGCACCCTGGGAGGCAGTTCTGCCTGGGCTGTGTGACTGGCTGCAGGGCTGCTCAGTGAGAGGACCACGGGGTCTCTGTTCTCAATTCCCCCCATCTGTGCAAGGGAAGCCGCCCCCCTCCCGCCACCCGACGCTAACCCGCCTGTCCTTTGTACCTGCAGAGGAGAACCAGGAGCGCGTGGTGATCGACCCCACCTCCAGGGACGACCCCAGATTCAGAGAGTTGGTCAAGGTGAGGACGAGTGTCCTGGCTGGGATGTTCTTGGGAGGTCAGATCTTGGGGTTCAGGGTCTTGTGGGCCAGAGGAGCAAAGCTGGGGGCTCGTCAAGGGGCCTTACTGCTGCCTTTGGTGGGGGATGTGAAGGATGAGGCTGGATGGCCTGGAGCATCTCCCAGGGGCCCAGCCCCACGGGGCCTCTCCGACGGCTGGCTCCCCGTCATGTACTGGACCCAGTTATGCGGGGGCCCTTTTCTTAAGACTTGGAATGAGCAGCTGCAGTGAACGCTCATGGTGCCTCGCAGACGGGTTCAAGGCGTTCAAACCCTTTCTGGAGCGAGAGGGGCGGCGTTCAGAGGAAACTCTGAAAAGCGGGCACGTGGGCCCCCTCTGGCCACACCTGGGGATCCTCATTGGATGCTGGTGCCCCTGCGCTGGGCAGCGGTCAGGTTCTGCAGCGTCTGGACGTGTGGGGACCGGCGAGGCCAGAGGATGGCTGCCTGGTTCCGGAAAGTCAGGGAAGCAAGGCCAGCCCGGGCCGCTGGCTCTGGGTTCCTTCGGGGCCGTGGTGGCTGCGCGTCTCTCCGCACTGGTCTCGAGCCTGGCTTAGCGGTGAGGCTTCATTCGTAGCGTTAACCCGTGTCAGAGCGAGCGTGGGTTGCAGTTTGATGCTCTTATCTAAACCACAGCAGGGCGTCAGAGGTAATCCCTGGGCCGGCAAGGGCTCTGACAGCATCGTCACCTGCGAGACCAGAGGCCAGTGGACTAGGCTGTGCAGACGCCGTTTAGGGCAGTGCCACACACATATCCTATGAAAAGGGCTTTTTCAAAAGTTTCTCCACCTTAACCACTGCGGTTGGGCCCGATGAGGGCACGACTGCCTTTTCACGAGAGCTCCTTCAGGATAAACAAAACCTTTGCAAGTTGTAGCTTTTAAAAAATTGAAATGGAAAATGTCTGTTTTCAGGCCCACCCCGTAATGTTGATTCTGAGCATCTTAAATTGCTAGTTTATTAAGATTTCTTTTTTTCCTGAATACCCACTTTGTCATTCTGAACAGAAGATTGTCGGTGAGGAAAAGTAACCCTGCACTTCAGCCACTAAAATGTTATCCACGGCCATATTTCAGTAGTAGAAGGGGATGCCCTGTTTTTGTCAGGATCCTCCAGAGAAACGGAATCCACAGGAGATGGCCCTATCTCTCTACCTCTCTCTCTCTCTCTCTCCATCTCTCTGTCTATCTCTCTCTCTATATATATCTCTTCTGTCTCTCTCTGTATCTATCTACAGAGACTTAGAAGGATTGGCTCACGTGATTGTGGAGGCTGAGAAGACCCATGATCTGCCCTCTGCAAACTGGGGACCAGGAAAGCTGGTCCGAGGGCCTGAGAGCCCAGGACAGGACTTGCACGTCCCAGGCAAAGAGAGGCCGAGTCCAGCCTTCCTGTACCTTTTTGTCCTATTCAGGCCCTTCCTGGATCGCATGCTACCCACCCACGCTGGCCAGGCCCCTCTGCTTTACTCAGGCCACCAATACAAATGCTAATCTCTTCCCGACACCCTCACAGACACGCCCAGAAAGAATGTTTAATCAGCTGCCTTGGCATCCCGTCCAGGCCAAGCTGACGCATAAAATTAACCACCACGTGCCCGGCTCCGATTTTTTCTTCTTCCACATGTAAGCAGAGCTTGAGAGCACGTGAGCATCTTCTCCTTGAAACAAGACCCAGGGGGCCTGGTGTCACCCTCACCTCCATACCGGGACTCCGAGAGAAGTCACGCCCCCACCCCCAGGTTACGCTCTGAACCAGTGAAGTGTCCGGTCTTGAATGAGTGTTTGATGCCTCATTCGCTGAGCCCCGGTTGAGGGTCCAGAGCTGTGCTGGGCCCCGGGGCTGCAAGATGAACCAGTCACCTCCCTGCTATACGGGATCCAGATCCGCTTTGTGCTCCTCCTGGACTCACTCACTCGGCCCTACCCGCCTCTGCTTTGCCGCTTTGCCCCAGGAGACTACAGGCATTTTTGGCCTCTACCGGGTGAGGGCTGGGCAGCTGCGTGTCCTTTATCCTCCCACACAGAGGGACCACAGCATCTCTGCATCCGGGACCAGCCCGACGGGACCTGCAGAGGCTCTGGCAGCCCCTCCAGCCCCAGATTCCGGGTTCAGCTGAACGACCACGTCTGGGGCATGGAGTGTGCCGACTGGAGGGGCTGGGAATGCGGACGTTGACATCTTGTGGGGCAAAGCAGGACTGAGGACCCGGGGGCGTGGGAATGCACGCCTCTCCCTTTCTTCCCCGACGGGCAGTTCTGAGAGCCGTGCTTCCACAGGAAGTTGGCTGTGTGCTGGGCGTCAGCTGGGTTTTCTTCCGAAGCTGCGGGCGGCTCAGGGGCTCACCTGCCTCCCTTCCCTCTCCCCTCACTCTTGCTAGTCTGGGGTTATGGTCCCCCTAAAAGCAGCAGCAGTCAGCTTGGCCCTGGGCTCTCTTTCCTGGGGAACCCAGGTGTGGTATGCTGAATCATGGCCCCCAAAGATGTCCACGTCCTAGCCTCTGGAACCTGTGACTGTTACCTCCTTATATGGCGAAAGGGACTTTGCAGATGTGATTAAGCTAGGGGTGTGGAGGGAGGGATGACTCTGGATTGTCTGGTGGGCTCACAAGTGTCCTTATAAGAGGGAGGCAGAGAGAGATTTGACTGCAGGTGATGGTGGCAACATGAGGGTGGATACGGGATGCCACGCTGCTGGCTTTGAAAATGTGGGAGGGGGCCACGTGCTAAGGAATGTGGGCTCCCCTAGAATGTGGAAAAGGCCAGGAAGCCTTCCCTAGAGCCTCCGGAAGGAATCAGCCCTCCTGACACCTAGGCATTAACCCAGTGAAACTGGTCTTGGACTTCTGACCTCCAGGACTCAGGGAACACACTGGTGGTTTGGAAGCCCCAAATTAGTGATAATTTGTTACAGCAGCCAGAGAAACCAGTACACCAGGCCGAGTTACCTCCTGTCCCTAAACCGCCGCATCCCTTAGCTGTAGCTGAGGGTCCCCGTCCCCTTGGGAGCAGGGCCAGCCTTGCTGCCTTGCCAGTTTCCAGGAAGGGCCAGCTGCCAGACACATAGAAGTCTGCTCCCATGGCCATCCCGCCAGCAGATGGGCAATTTCTGGAAGGTTCCCCCTGCCCTCAGACTGCAAATTGTACCTCGAGGCTGGTGGCTTATCTTCCAAAATAAGCATAAACACAGCAAGCAGGACAGCGCCGCCAGGCTGTCTGTCTGTGGCTTGTTGGTTGCTGTAGTGGCACGTGGAGGGGATGTATGTAAAATACTAGCTCTCACTGACTACAGGGCTTTTAAACAGAGACGCACGCGTGCTGGTGGGGGTCTGGGAGATGCCTGGGCTGAGCGCCAGCTACTCTGGTTTGTTCTTGTTTGTCAGGTAAGGGGGAGGCTCAGCGTATCCCTGAGTTGGGGCCCACTCACGACAGGGGGCTGTCAGCACCTCCTTTTCTTGGCGTGGGGAGGAACTGGCCCCAGGGCCAGGCAGCCTGCACGCGCAGTCAGGGGTGAGCTGCCCGGGGGTGCCGCCGAGCCAGACACCCTTAGATGTGCTCCGGGCTGGCGGCCCTGCTGCCTCACTTCCCGCCCCTCCCCCCAACTCCAGTGCCCTGGCCCCCGAGCCTCCTTGCCCCTCCCTCCTTGAGCAAGCTGAACACCTGCCCACCTGGCTGTGAGGTTAGAAAGGCCGTTTCCCCCAAGCCCAACCCCACTTCTGATGCCGGTTGTAAGTTTGGGAGCCCCAAGATGACCCACAGGTTTGATACTTTGCTAAAAGGACTCCAGTTATACTCACGGTTATGGCTTATTCTGGTGAGAGGACACAGGTTAAAGTCAGCCGAGGGGGAAGTGCAGGTTGTTTTGGTGCAGTGCGTGGACCACGTGCAGGCCTGTGCTTGTCAGGGTGAGGTCTGGCTGACATCCCGACCACTGGCCATGTCCAGTCTTGGGAGCAGCGGGACCTTTCTGAGTTAGCATAGTCGGTCCCCCGGCTTTCTTTCTCTTTTCTCCATCATGTGCACTTTGTTAGCTCTTGTCTTGGCCCCTGTCCTGTCTCTCTCTGTAGACTTACCCCCACTGACCCTCCTACCTCAGGACTGTTGGTGTTTAAAACAATTGTGAGCTGCTCTCTGCTTCCTGTCAAAAACCCTGGCTCTGGCTAAGCCAGGCATTAAGAATGAGGCCGCTCATTGAAACATTCTCTTCGAGTATCTTTTGTGTGTAATGCAGTGTGAGGGGGTGAAGGGCTGGGTGTGATGGGCTGTGGAATCGGCTCCCTGGATTCAAATCCCGGCTCGGATTAAAGCAGGAGAACAGTCGTGCCCGTCTGCCAGCATGAGGGTGACGTCAGATGCCACGCTCTTGCTGTCCGGCAGGTGCTGTGCCAGGCGCTGGAACATGGGCACAAACAGGGCAGAGCTGGGACGGAGGTACATGGGCAGGTCTGTGGTTCCAGTTTAGAAGTGAGTATCCTGCGGGCTCAGGAGCTGAAAGACTTACACTGTCTTCTGTATGCAGGTGTTTGTCCTGTGGTCCTTTTCGCTAGCATCCTCCAGGAGTGCCCTGAATCTCTTAACAGGGTGAACAGCTGGTGCCGTCTGGGGAAGACAGCAGTTTACAGATGAGATCCTTTATATTTTTAATGATCTTTGAAAGAGGGAATGGCAGTTCTCGTGCTTTCCAGAGTGAACAGCCAGAGAGGGGCCTCCGCACTTGCGGGTGCGTTGGTCCAAGGCAGGCTGGCCGTGTCGTCACCGGGGTACGCATTTCTCCCCACAAGCAGATTTCGCATCTCATCTCCCAGTTTATTGGACAAGGCTCCTTCGGGTTGTTCAGTTCTGTTTTCTCCCTCCCTTTGCCCCTACGAAGAAACTCAGCTGCACAAAGATGGTCTTCTGGGCAGAAGACGGTGCTATCATCGTTGTGTGGAGATGCCCAGGGATGTGGCTGGCACTGCACCTG